GGCATGTGCTACTGTGCCTGGCTTGTTTGCTGCTTTTATAAAAGTTGACTGGGTTTATTTTCAGTTATAACAAAATCATTTATACTGAGGAAACCTTGAACTAAAACCTTGAACATTTTACCTCGCTTATGATGTTTTTTCTATCTTAAATTAGGATCATCTTATTTCCTTTCCTAGACTGTAGGTCTTTGGGATGGAGTAACAGTCACGTTTTATTTTTGCTTACCTAAAGGCTAATACAGCCATTTGTTGAGATTAGTTGTTCAACATTTGATGAATAAATACATTGAATGAAAGATGATAATGAATATAGCTTTGTATAACTGAATTCAGACGTTCCCAGTAGTTTTCAGGCTCAAGATTCTGAGAATCTTTGTGGTCCTGTACTTCTGCTTTTCCTCCCTCCTGGTATAGAAGGACCATTTGCAGGCTCTCTGACAGATAAGCATCCAGCCTCTTGCTTATCTTCAGTACTTTGAAACTAATGAAATAGTTAATTTCATCATTAAAACGCTTTAGTTGTAGTAGATTTGTTTTTGTAAATGGACTAAATTATGTCTCCCTGAAACTTTGGCCAAGTGGTACAATATGGGAGAAACCCCTCTTTCTATGACAGCCTTCAAGTGTTTAAGATAATTTGAACCTTTTCTCACTCTGTACATTCTTTGGCCACCTGTTTCTAGTTCCCTCAGCAGGTCCTCATGGTCAGGACTTTTAGACTCTTTTCCATCCTAGTTATTTTCTTATAAATTGAAGTCAGTGTTCCCTTAAAATGCGGCATTTGGAATTGCATCTGTGGAGCAGACGTTGATCGAGGGCTTCCCGTGTCCTAGGTACTGCCCTACCTGCTGGGTTGCCACAGTGACCAAGACAGATCTTTTTGAAGGGAAGACAGACAATAGACAAACAGATGAATTAAACAGAACAAAAATAGATTGTCATGAGTTCTGTGGAGAAAAGAGATGGGTACTGGGGTGGGGAGTCATCGGGCAGGGTGGCTACTCTGACAGATAACCAGAGTGGGGGCGCTTCTCTGAAGAATCATGAGAGGTTCTGGGGAGAAGCATTCTAGAAAGAACTAGGGGGGAAACGTTGGTGTACACTAAGAATTAATAGAAGGCCTCTTGCTGAGAAGATAAGCAGCTGAGGGGCAGAGTGAAGTTGGAGAGAAGTCCGATCATGTAGCCCTGAGTGGTCCCAATAAGATTAAAACCAAGAAACAAAACAAACTAGTTCATACAAACCAGGCCTTGGTGGTGGAGTCCACTGTGGACCGTCTAGGTGGCTGCTCCATGAGCTCTGTGTCCTAATGCAAGACAGTTTTGCAATCTTTTGCTTTGAAATGTCTTCAGAGCTAGTTCACCCAGAGCACATGCTATAGATGTCACAAACACCATGATGCTTTCTTTAAATAAGAATGAGGAAAATCTTTTTTTTTTTAATTGGTTGTTCACAACATTACAAAGCTCTTGGCATATCATATTTCATACATTAGAATCAAGTGGGTTATGAACTCCCATTTTTACCCCAAATACAGATTGCGGAATCACCTCGGT